GTGTGAGCTGGGGGCCTGGTGAGCCGCACGCGGTCCACAGTCAATCCGTGTGAGCTGGGGGCCTGGTGAGCCGCACGCGGTCCACAGGGCACCTTCCTCCATGCCCAGCTTTGCCTATTCCACTTTAGCAAGGACCTGAGACTTATTCCACCCCCACCACATCACCACCGCGATTACCGGATGCTCTAGAGGTCACATCCGCGTTGCCCCTGCCTCGCGCATGGCCCGTGGCCTCCCACAGCCTCCCTCAGCTGCGTCCACTCAGCACGGAGATCTACCGATGGTCCTAAGGCGATGGCTGCATCGTGACGGGCTCTGCCTCACGTGGCCTGCAGAGCTGCTCCCCCCCTCTCTGCTGGGGAGGCTCCTCGTCTGCCATCCCACCCCCACCTCAGAGGAAAGAGATCCTCTGGTGGAGCCTGTGGCTGGGATGCTCCTGGCGGGCCGTGCTGGGCGGGGGGCTGGTTCTGAGGGCACACAGGGCTGGTGCTGTGCCCTCACCAGAATCTGGCACGGTGTCAGCCCTAAGGACAGGTCTACACAGACACCACAACTCCTACTCACCAGCAGATACCCCTGTGGGCTGCTGGCTCCGTCTCCCTTCTCCCCCCACTTCCAGGTACTATTTCTGGGCTCATTTCACCTGTCAAGAGGAGCCCAATGTGTGTGGTTCATGTGGAACTCTATATCCAGAGAAACAAAGCCGTGATGAGGGCCTGGAGCTGGGGTGGGCTGGGAATGCCCCATCACCCCCCGACTCCTTCCTTCTGCAGACGCTCCATGAAGAACAGTTCAAGCCCCTTGAATGGGATTTGTTGGCGAGGGTGACTCTGCTGGACACAACCTTTCCCCTCTTAACTTCTGCCGATAAAGCCGGCACAAACAGGAAGGCACTTTCCTGCTGTCTTTGGGCCTTTAGAAGTTATACAGCCCCAGTGACGACAGTGTCTGGTACTCGCCCAGGTGTTTGCAAGTGACGCACAGAGCATGGGAGTAGCCTCCAGCCCTTTCACCAGCCCAACCACAGCCACGTCCCCAGGCTGGGGCTCGCAGGGGCAGGGTGGCCCAGAAGGCGCTTTACCTTGAATGTTGTTGCTGACTCGGGGCTGGCGACCACCAGAGGTGAAATGAGGACCATGCCGGAGAAGTGGCTGGGCCTCTCGGCGGCGGTGAGAATGGCGATGGCCCCGCCCTGCAAGGCAAAGGACAGAGTGGCTGCGGTGCCTGCTGGCTCACACCTGGGGCAGGCGCAGGCTGGTGCCGGCTCATGCCTGGGGCGCAGGCCGAGGCCGGCTGGTCAACCGGAAATGGAAGCTGCAGTGATTTCATCATAGCCCTCCCCCGTCCAGGTTTCCACGAGCAAACGTGTCAGAGATGTAGAGTAAAATAATAAAATGAAATCAGTTTCTGCCGTGGGTGGCCTGAAAGCTAAACACTAACACACTCCTGTTTCATTTCAAGCCCCAAGCCGGTCGGCCTCAACCATTCTGATGAGGTTTTGTTTTTAGTGGGGTGGGGTAGAAAAGGCAATATGGTGGCAGTGGTGGGTTGCTAAGGTTTCTGCTGGGTACTAAAGATCCAGAAACGAACATTCCAGGAGACGCGCCAACAGCGAGGAGAGAGGCCATGTCTGTCTGGATCTCAAAGGTAAGTTAAACCTAAGGCTCAGCCTCCGGGGTTCACAGGGGCCGGGCGGGCGGGGATGCAGGCTCAGCCTCCGGGGTTCACAGGGGCCGGGCGGGCAGGGATGCAGGCTCAGCCCCCCCAGCACTTCCCAGACCCTGACCTGCCAGCCAGGAGGAATGTGTTTTCATCACATTCCTTCTCCTCTCTCCCTTTATCTCCCCTTCCTCCTCCTTCCTCCCAGCCTGGATATTGAACCAGGGCCTCTAACAACGCTCTGCCTTTTTTTTTTTTGGAGACAAGGTACAGCTACTTTTTTGCCTGGGTTGGCCTCAAACTCACTTCCTTCCTGCTGGCCTCCCCTCCCGTGCTTGGTTTATAGGCATGTTCTACCACGCCCTAACTAGCTTTTCTGTGAGGAGATGGGCCTGCACAGCTGTGAGTTCAGAGGTTAAACATGGCTGAATCCCCTTTCAGGGAGTTCCCACCACGTTCTTTCCTTCTGTGGCCGCCTACAAGGTGGGGGTCTGGGAACCTTCTAGGTACTTCTCACTGACGGAGCCCTGTGCTCCTGAGGTGGGGCAGTTGCTGGCCTTGCTATGGAATGGCCGCCTGGGCCTCTTGGGTGGACTGGCAGTGCCCGCTGGCCCTACAGCCCTGAGGAGGGTGGAGACGCTCGGCCTGCAGGGGTGGGGGAGAGGAGACCCGCAGGGGGTCAGGGCGAGGCTCTCTGTGCTCTCCTTACCATGGAGTGACCCAGGAGGAAGACGGGCAGCCGGGGGTGGTCCTTCTGCACCAGGTCCACGTGCTGCAGCACATCCCTGACAAAGACCTGGAAGTCAGACACCATCATCCGCTCTCCCTCACTCTGTCCGTGGCCCACTGGAAGGAAGGAAGGGGAGAAGCTCAGTCACCTGTGCCAGTCTAGAGTGCTGGAGTGTGTCCCCACCCATTTTGCAGATTAAGGAACTGGCCCGGGGCCGCAGGGCTCAGAAGGGCATCACCACAGAAACACTGCGCTCCGCCACGGCAAATGACCCAGAAGGCCCGCCATGCCGTCTGACCACACTCTACGCCAAGTTCTTACACGGGTGTGTGTGCAAAAGTCCTTGCTCCTGTCCCCAAACGGTGATGTCACCCTTCCACAGAAAAGCTGCTCTATCAATGAAGTCCGGTCTGCTTCTGGATCTTATTCTGCTTATTTACCTGCTCTTTGGAGCTGGAGGGTCTGCTCTGTGCCCATGCTGGCCCTGAACTTCTGGTCTCAAGCGATCCCTGAGTGTTGTTACTACGGGTGAGTGCCACGGTAGGCAGCTCCACTGTGTTTTTATTGCATCCTGATGCTCTGACTTCTTGCCTTGTGGATCCTGGAGGGGCTGCTCCTTCCCTACCCCTCCCTGTCAGCTCACTCCAGGAGGCGGAGCAAAGCCTGAGCTCACCTTTATTAAACACCAGCTGACCAGGCCCCTGTGGTCGGCCACCTCCTCCCAGGCTCCTGTGCTCTGCTCACCTCAGTCACCCCAGGACAGGGATCAGGCAGGGCCTGCGTCTCTGAAACGCTCCCCGGCCTGCATCAGCGCCCCCGCACCCTCTCCTCACCCTGCCTCGGTCAGCACGGCCGGCTGGGCCTCTTGCTCCTAGGGGTCCATGAGCAGGACTGCGCTTTGTTCATCACAGTCATCTCTGCATCGCCCTGTCTTACCATCGTCGACTACAGCACAGGACACTAAAGCATTCTGGCAGGGTCTGGGGTGCAGTTCACAAGTCAGTGAGCGCCTCACAGAGCAAGGCCCTGGGCTCCATCCCTGTACCCCAAAATAAAACTAAACCAGGACAGCCAGAAGTATCTGACACAAAATATGCACTTAATACGTCTAACAATGAACTAGTCTCCATGTCTTTGTTCCCAGAAAATGCTTCTACTTGAGAACAACTTCCCACGTTCCCGGGGGCACGTCCAGAAAGCTGATGGCCACAGACCTGGGGTGTCCACCTCCCTGTTTTTCCAGAACCCTACTTAGGACTCACTTTCTCACGGAAGAGAAAGCTGGTAAAGCAAGCAAGACAGGCAGACCGGACGCAGAGCGGGTTACAAAGCACCGCCAGCGCTCATCAGACACTCCTAGGTGTGTGGGCCAGGGCTTTGCGTCTCCCTTTGCCCCTCAGGAACTAAGTGGTGGATCTCAAGGCCTGGCCAGCGAGGGGGGTGGGCAGACTCTGCCCTCTCTCCAGTCCAGCACCTGCAGTCATGGGTCAGGGCAAAGCAGGCAGGAGGCCAACATCTTCCGGGGGGAGGTGGGAGTCGTCTGCTGGGAACACCTGGGGCCCCCCCAGCAGGTCCCCAGGGGCTTCCCCTGCTGCTGCGCAGGCCCAAGGCTGCATCCTGCTAGGGGGTGAAGGTGGGGGGAAGCAGGTGGGCTCTGACTTCCCACCAGCCCGCCTCCGCCCAGGAAGACCCCAGCGCAGGTTCCCACTCCTCTGGGTCTCGCCGCCTCCCCTTATTTAGGGTCGCCACGGGCCTCTGGATCACCAGTCCATCAAAGTCCATGCCGGCTGACCGCTCTGGGCGGTGCTGGACCCAGAGGAGTGGCCGATAATTATTAGTGGTGGAAATGCCTAGAGAGGCCTGCAAGGCACAGCGCAGAATAAGACAACGCCCACTGCTTGGGCAGCGCCTCGGGGCTGGCCTCACAGGCTTTCAGAGAGTCACACAACACTCTCCAGGGCTGGGAATGTGGCTCAGGGGTAGAGTGCTACTACATTCAACAACTCCTCCTCCTCTCCTTCCTCCTCCATTTTCTCTTTCCTCGGCGCTGGGGATAGACGGGACCCAGGACGCACACACTCTACCACCGCTCCACCTCCGCTTTTCCGTTGTTTTTCAGCATCCCTTATCTTCACCCTGGCTGGGTGAGAACTAGAGAGCCCAGCAACAGGTCAGCTTGTGTGAAGTCCTGACCGCCACCCCCCCCCCCCCCCGCAGAGTGGGGCACAGGAACCGCCTCCGTCCCAGCACTTCCCCACTGTTGTTTTGTCTTCTGGTTCCGGTCTTTAAGGTGTTTAACCTCCGTGCTTGATTGGAACGAAGACACCAGTGTCCATGTGCTTCCTTTCTTCTTTATACTCCACTTGACAAAGCCTTCAAAAGTTTCAGTGTCACATTTTCCAACTGAGCTTTCTAGTGAAGGTCTGGCTTGTCTCTTGTCCTGCAAGGCTCATGAGGATAGCAGAAACCCCTAAGACAGTGACAAAGTCAAAGAACAGCATCCTTAGACGAGAGGACATATGTCCATTTGTTGCCCTCAGAAAGAATGTCTGGCCATCCACCAACATTTTGTCAGTACTGAAGACAAACCTCCCATCGACGGCAGGGCTCACTGGACCAGGGACTCAAAGTCAGAGGTCAAAAGCAGGAGAGAAGCTGGGCGCCAGTGGCTTGTGCCTGTAATCTTGGCCACTTGGAAGGCTGAAATCTAAGCATCATGGTTCAAAGCCAGACCAGGCAGGAAGGTCTGTGAGACTCTTATCTCTACCACCAGAAAGCTGGAAATGGAGCTGTGACTCAGTGGTAGAATATCAGCCCCCCAAAAAAGGGGGGAGGGGGCTGGCTGGAGATTAGGCAAGAGTGGCGCGCCTATGTGGAGACTAACTTCCCTTCCTCTAGCAGCGGCCGGGGCCACGCGGGAAACCGTTTCCCTTCCTCTCTTTTCCTAAAAGTACATCTGGCAAAAGTCTCAGACCACAGCTCAGGCGGGGAGAGCGGCTGGCTTCTCCTCTGTCCAGTCTCCACCTGCCCACTCAAGGAACCGGCCGTGCTGTCCACTCTTCCCTGGCCCCTGGGCACCTTCGCTGAGAGCAGAACGCCCCCTTCAGCATCCAGCACCAGCCGGATTTTACAAAGGAGACCAAGGCAGAAATTAATTTCTGTGCTAATTACAACAGCTTGGGAGAGGTACAAAGATGCCAGAATTTAGCATATGGGCTATGGAGACACATTTCGACTCAGATTTTTTTTAAGCTGTTACAACATGCTTTATAATGTAACTGACTAAAAGACTTATCTGCGCTGCGTCTTCGAAGCAATGCATCCTCAGGATGTCATATTTAGAGGATTTATTTGGGAACACCCCACTTCGGTTGTATAAATAAGAAGAAACAGCAGGACGAGAAGTGTCATAACTGTGGTTCTTGGCGTCCTTCCGTGCCGTGCTGGGGGGCAGTGTCCGGGGGCTCAGCCGCGGCACTCCCGAGGCCTGGCCGTGCTGGCCCTCCCTCACCTGTGGGCTTCTCTCTGCGGTGATGAGGCTCTGGCCACTCCAGGCTGACCAGAATCACCCAGAGACGCTTCCCTGTCCTCGGATTCTTCTGGTGAAAGTGGCTCTTACAGAAAACTGCCTCTGACTTCTGAACAGGCAGTAGCTGTGGGGCGGACAGAAGCTTTTACCACCAGAACTTCCAGGATGTGACAGATCTAGGAATAAAAAGTCTGTGACACAGTAACAGGATGCCCTGCAAGTTCCAAAGAATGCTTGAGGTGGGCTGCAGAGCGGCACTCTGCCAGCAAGCCCGGGGCCTCTTCAAAATCCAGAGAAAGGCTTAACAGAAGAGCAGCCTTCCATATTCGCAGAGCCAGATCAAGGGGAGGGCAGCAGAGGGATCAGCACGTCTGAAAGTCAGTGAGGCCCTGGCATGTCTGGGTTTTTCTTCCTATCCCTAAAATAACCTTTATTCGTGTTGGCAGACAAGTTGTTTTATTTTTTTTGGGTCTGGTCGTGGGGCCTGAACTCTGGGCCTGGGAGCTGTCCCTCAGCTCTTCAGTTCAAGGCTAGCGCTCTACCACTTGAGCCACTGAGCCACTTCTGGCTTTTCTTTTTTGCTTATGTGGTGCTGGGGAATTGAACCCAGGGCCTCATGCATGCAAGGCAAGTGCTCTACCACTGAGCCACCTTCCCAGCCCTGGCAGACAAGTTAAAGACGGAAGTGGCACTGTGGCTCAAGTGATGAGCTCAGGAAGAGAAGAGCCCCGAATTCAAGTCCCAGGACTGGCAAAAAAAGGAAAAAGAAAGGAAGACTGTGCTTTGCCTAATTTATTTCCTCCATGTCGTAATGCTGTTGAGTAGTGTTTTTTGAGGGCAGCAGAACAAAGCCACGCTGCAGCAGGAGTCATGGGTTTGGGCGGGGAGCCACGCTGCGCTCTGCCCAGGGGAACTGGTTACCTGGCAGGTCGCTGAGGAGTTACATGACGCAGCGCCCACCACACAGCACACTCCGGCGCATGCCCGTCTTCCTTCTTCCTCGTTCCAGGCTTTGTTCTTGCAGGCAGTGCTCCGGAACAAGAAGGCCTGCTGAGAACATGTGAGCTCCGGACGTGGTGGCTGGGTTTCTTCTCCAGCTCAGTCTCCCTGCTTGCGGCCAGACGAGGCGGCTGCAGTGGTTGGACTCTAGCAAGACCTGGTCTCAGGGTGCTGTTGCTATGGCAACCGTCCTCCTGAGTACAGAGTCACAGGGAGAAAGGCGCTCTGACCTCTTAAGACCAGATGTGGAACTGAACGTCTCTGTGCACAGTGGGACCGCAGGGCGGCTCTCCAGGCATCCATCTTCCCGCTCACCCCTTCCTCTGAAGGAATGCGTGCTCCTCTCCGCCACACTCCTCACTCCCCGCGTGTCTACTGGATGGGGGCCAGGCCTGCACCTTCTCCCTGGACTGGGGCCAGGCCTCCACCTTCTCCCTGCCCCCTCCCTGACACTACTCCCCCAGCCCAGCCGGTTCCACAGAACACACCCCACACCCTGGCCCTGGAGACACTCCTGGCCGCCTTCTTCCCCTTTTCCTCAGGAGGGCCTGTGGATCTGGCGGCTGCACCCCGTCAGGAGGGTTCTCC